CTGTCCACCCCTGTGTCCCTGGCCTGTGTCCACCCCTGTGTCCCCAGGCAGTGTCCACCCCTGTGTCCCCAGGCACTGTCCACCCCTGTGTCCCTGGGCTCTGTCCACCCCTGTGTCCCCAGGCTGTGCTCCCCGTGGTGCTGATGTCCCCTGCAGGTGACCAGAGCTGCTTTGGATCTGGGGCTGAGCCCGCTGCAACTCAGGGATGCCAGAGCTGGGCTGAGCACGGGATGTGCCCGGGAATGGGATCGATGCTGTCTGGYCATGTCCTGGGTAGGGCCAGGACCMCCAGGGCTGTCCCCAGYTCCACAGGTYCTCTCGGGKTGTTTGGCCCTACAGGGGATGGACAGGGACGGGTGGTGGCCCAGAAGCCCAGAGCTGCAGCAGGAATGGGGTAAGAACAGGGGAAGTTTGTGGGGTTTCTTGTGAGGAGCAGTGGGATGGACCCCCCAAATCCCATCCCTGCATCCCAGGGAGTTCAGAAATCTGAAATCACACAAACACGGGACACAACACAAAATGATGATGGTTTGGATCCTTTAGGATCATCAGCCCAGTACCACCCCTGGGGTCACTGCTGACACATCCTCAAACATCCCCACACTTTAGGAGGGGAAAAGGCCAAAACAAGGAGTCACTGGAGTGCCAGCCATGCCCAGTCCTTCTCCACACCCCATCCCAGGAGCCTTCCCCATGAAACCCTGGAGACAGCCAGGCCCCAGGGAAGCACAAGGTGCTCCCCCAAGGTGAGCTCTGGGGCAGGACCAGTCCCCCCAGTGTCTGGCCCTTGGCTGTGTCCCCAGTCTGTCCCCCCAGGCTGTGCCCCCAGGCTGTGCCTTGTCACCGGTTCTGGGCGAGCACTGAGCTGTAACTGCAGTGAAAACACCTCGGGCTGCTCCTGCCAGCCTGTGTTGGTCCCCAGAGCCCGGTGCCACTGCTCGGGGCCGCCCCAAACCTTCATCTCCTGCCAGCTGGGCGGGTTTTTGCCGGTTCTGAGCATCTGATGGGTGCTGGGAGTCAGCCCCAGCCTGACTTGGTGTGCAAAGGGACAGGAAAAAAGAGAAACAAAGTTTTCCAGGGAAAAACTGGCTCCGTGAGGGGAAGATGATGGGAGAAGAATTCTCTCCTGGTGCTGTACAGGGGGGCAGCGCTGCCGAGTCCCCGCTGGCTTCGCCGCTGGCTCTGGCTGGAAGGGCAGTGCCCGGCCCTGGCAAAGGGAGCAGGATGCCCGCGGTCTCAGCCAGTGCTGGGGGGTTTTTGTCTGGTTCTGGGGCTGGAGGTGGGGGCTGGGACGCTGCAGGGAAAGCCCTGAGTGAAACCAGGAGCGGGGCACCAACTGAGGAGGGTCTGCAGTGACAGTGGCCAAAACCCCCCTGTGCTGCCTGCGGGTCCTTGGCACCCTCAAAAGGGAGGCTCMGTCTCCCCCAGAGACCCCTGTGCTTCCAGGACCCGTCACATGGGCTGAGGGGGACCTGGTGGCCCCACAGAGAGGGTCCCGTGTCTCCACAGAGAGGGTCCCATGTCCCCAGGCGTCCTCCCGGGGCCACCCTGGCTGCAGAGCCCCCAGGGCAGAGGCACCGCCGGCAGATGCAGCGTCCCCATCCCGTCCCGTCCCTATTCATGGGGGTTTGGGTTTCACGCCGGGTGGGCTGTGTTCCGTCCCCTGCAGCCCCCAGCCTGTGCCGGGATTGCGCCAGCGCTGGGACGAGCTGTTCCAGCCACAAAAACAGCGCCCGGAGCCCCGGGGACGTCAGCGGGGTCCGGGGGCGGCTCCTGCTGACGCAGAACCTCCTCACCCTCCTCCTCCTGTCCCCTAGCAGGGATGCTCAGCTGCTCCCGCGTGGGTTGGAGCTTGGTGTGGGGCGGCTCGGGGGTGGAATCTCCTCCAGGGCCACCTCTGTCCCTGGTGTCCCCACAGCAGCGTGTCCCGGAGCTCCCGGAGTCACGTCGCGGTCATCCCAGGGGACGGGATCGCGAGCAGAGCAGCTCTGAGATCCGGGTTGGAGGTGCTGGGGWCAGCCCTGGGGGTCTCCTGGACGGGATGAGACCCCCAGGTCCTGCTGAGGGTGGCAGGTCCACGGCCAAGCTCGGGGGGCAAACGGAAGGAGAGTTCACAGTGCAGGGAAAAAACATCGCCCACCCTCCAACACACCCCAACACACCGGGAATCAGAGTAACGGATCGTTTACAGTGGTTTATTTTAAGAAATGTACAAAGAAAATCGGCTTTAGCTCACACAAACCCTGCTCGGGGGCATTTCCCCAGCCCCGACGACACAAACGGAGAAGCAGCATCGACCGTGAGCCACGATCCGGGCTGGGGCCGCCGAGCCGGGGATGCTGCCCAAGGAAACGCCGGCGGCTGCGGCTCCAGGGAGCATCCTCATGGAGACACCAGCACAGGGCCAGTGACTGAGCCGAGTGTCCCCAGCTCTGTCCCCAGGCTGGCGGCTCAGGGTCCGAACCGAGCTCAGCCCYGCTCCCAGCCAGCCCGCAGCTCCCAAAGCGGCCCCAGAGGAGGAGAGAACCATCACAATACAAAAAGACAGAGCCTTTGGCTTCAGGAACAGCCCTTGTTTGAACTGGAAGAGGTTTTGGTTTGTGTTTGATCTCAAGTGGGGTTTTTTAAATTCCCTTTGGAAGGCAGAAAGGGGTCAGAGCTCAAATTGGGGCCTTTTTTCACAGAATCCCAGGRTGGTTTGGGGTGGAAGGACCTCAAAGCTCACCCAGTGCCACCCCTGCCATGGGCAGGGCACCTTCCACTATCCCAGGGTGCTCCAAGCCCTGTCCAACCTGGACATTCCAAGGACAGGGCAGCTGCAGCTGCTCTGTGCCAGGGCCATTTTTCCTTGGTTTCCTTCTTTTTTGATGTAAAGAGCAGAAAATCCCATTTTCCCCCGTGAAAAGGCTCCTCTGTCCGGAGCTTTCCTGCTGAGGACCTGCCTGGAGCACCCTGAATGTGCCACCGGGGCCTCTCTGCAGCTCCAGCCTCGGGGAGGATGCTCTGCCCAGGAATTTCAGGATTCCCACCCCAGTGGGAGCGTTTATTGCACGGAGACACCTGGGGYTTGGGTGGGATTTAAGGCACCCCTAAAGCAGCTCGTGGGAAGGATCACTCAAAGCCCCAGTCCCTGGGGATCCATCTCATTAATTAAGACTAATGAAGAGTACATGGCAACACCAACCAAGAGCACTCCAGTGGGATGGCTCCTCTTGCAACAGGGCTAGAAAAAAAAAACAAACAACAACTGGAGAGTTTTGTCCCTATCCTGGAGTGTTTTGTCCCAATCCCGGAGAGTTTTGTCCCACAGACTGGTGACTCTGGGAGGACCTTTTCCAAACTCTACCTTTGCCCATGGCTTTCCTGCCACAAGACCTGGATGGAAACAGGAAAACGGAGTAAAACCTGACCATAAATAACGTTTACATTCGTCCTGCAGAGACCTGAACGATTTCTAGCTTCAATGCATATTCAGAGACCTTGAAAGCCTGATATTTAACCCTGAGAACAAATCTGCAGATGCTTTGGCTTTTTGCAAACCAATTTTTTAAGACATAATTGCACTTTCTCTTGTATGTAACAAAAAATAATCATCAAGCTTATTCAGAGGTTCAAAAGAAAGGTGCTGCTTTAAGACTTTGGAGATATTTTTTTTGTTCAGAAAACCTTGTGCTTTCTGTAATTATTCTTAATATTATTTCACTTGGCTCATCTTTCACTGGTTGCTTGGCTGCACTCTGGAAGAATAAAATAGAAGAAAATCTCTTAATAGTGAAATAACATTAATAAATAATTACTCTGAGTGAAAGGACRACCATACTCTTCTGTTCACGTCTGAAAACCATCGCTGCTGTGATGAGATAATTTCAAAACCAACTCGTTTCTCTTTCACTGACAACACATTTCACATTTTGAGTTCCCATCAGAARAAAAGAATTAAACTCTTTGCAAGTGCAGTGGGCTGTAAAACCCAGGATCAGGAGGAGATCCTGCTTGGAAAGTCAAGGTGGCTGCTTGAACTATGTGAAATTAGCTCAATATCTAAGATCTAGAGATCTGTGCATGGAAGAGCTTTGAGCAGGAAATGCAGAGGAAGTCTCTTCGGGCTGGGCCGGCAGTGGGAGCCCATCGTGCTACACCAGTGACTCTTTCACCACACGTCCCTTGTCCCAGCCTGGAGATTCCTCGGGAGCTTCCCGGGGCGTCTCTGAGCCAGGAATGGGCTCGAGGGCCAGGGCAGGGGCTGTCTCCACCTCTGTCCCAGGGGTCCCGTAGATCTGCTGCATTTTGGTGGCGATCAGCCCTTCCTTCTCGGGCGCGTCGTCGCCCAGGGTGTCCTGGCTGTGCCGGTACATGTAGGACGCCTGCTTCACTGAGCGCCTCAGGAGGTACCTGCGGAAAGCCCTCTGGATCTTGGTGGCACAGACCTCCTCCTGCTTTCTCTTCAGGGTGGTGGTGATGGGTTCGTAGGACACCTTCGAGGGGTTGGCAGCCATGAACTTCTCCTCCATGGTGGCCTTCAGGGCATCCATCTCGCCCGAGTCTCCCAGCACTTCCTTTGTCAGGGCAAAGAGGATGTCCAGGCAGTGGATTTTGTCCCCGGCGACCATTGGCAGATCCATGGTGATGAGTTTGATCTTGTTGGGCTTGGCAACTCGGAGCGGCTCCTGCAAGGTGTCCACAAAGTCCGACAGGGTGCTGTAGGCGATGAACTGGGTGGCGTCAGGGTCAAACTTCTCCCAGGTCTCGTAAAACATCTCGAAGTCATCTTCACAGAGGGGCTCGCTGCTCTCCTCCGTGGCCACGCTGAAGTTCTCCAGGATGATGGCGATGTACATGTTGACCACGATGAGGAAAGAGATGATGATGTAGCTGCAGAAGAAGAAGATGCCGATGGATGGGTTGCCACAATCACCTTTCACTGAACTGCCAGGATTTTCCAGCTCGGGGTCGCAGTCCGGGGGCCCACTGTTGAGAATGGGGTTGAGGAGCCCGTCCCACCCCGCCGACGTGGTGATCTGGAAGAGGCAGATGATGCTGTTGCCGAAGGTTTCGAAGTTGAAGATGTCGTCGATGCCCGACTCTTTCTTGACGTAGGCRAAGTTGGACATGCCGAARATGGAGTAGATGAACATGACGAGAAAGAGCAGGAGGCCGATGTTGAACAGGGCAGGCAGGGACATCATCAGGGCGAAGAGCAGCGTGCGGATGCCTTTGGCGCCGCGGATCAGCCGGAGCACGCGGCCAATCCTCGCCAGCCGGATCACCCTGAAGAGCGTGGGGGACACGAAATACTTCTCGATGATGTCCGAGAGGACGATACCTGTGAGGGATGAAGGATGGGTGAGTTTGCCATGTCCCCATCAGGAGATGCCACCATCTGGGCAGACACAGGGAGGTGAGGCCACCCCCGATGGCTCCTCCAGTGACAGAGGGAACATTAAAAAACAACCCCTGAGCRCTGACCCAAGGGTTAAACTCTGGCTGCTTTCAGAGAGAGAGAAAACCACGGGTAATAACACCSAGGAGAGGAGAGACATCCCCAGCCCGTCACCCAGCCTGGCAGCCTGGGGTGGCCCCATATCTGTCTTGTCCCAGGGTTGGCCTGGCTCAAAGGATGGATGCAAGTGGAGGCCAGTGGTGGCTGTGGATTGGTGAGACCATTCCCACTCTTCATTGTCCAGTGGGATCCCTGGTGGGAGCAGCAGGACTCACCTAGGATGGAGAAGATGACCACCACGAAGTCAAAGATATTCCAGCCCACAGTGAAGTAGTAGTAGCGCAGGGCAAACATCTTGAGCACGCACTCGCCGGTGAAGATGACGATGAAGACCAGGTTTATCTTGTAGAGGACGGAGGTTTTGAGCTCGCTCTGGTCATCTGTCTCCACCATCATGGTCACCATGTTCAGACAAATCAGGATCATGATAGTGATGTCAAACACCTGCTTGGTAACGAAGTCGAAGACCTTGCCTTGGATTTTGTTCTGCCGTGAGGGACATGAGGGTGGCGGTGGAGCACCGGAGGTGAGGCAGGAACACAGGACAGACACAGTAAAACAAAGGACAYGACAAAGAGAAGAAGGAACCTCATTTACAAGTGTGGGGAACCTCACAGTTGTGGCCTGCAGGGCTCTCACAGCCCCAGAAGTTAAAGGGGAGGATGGAGGATTCCACACCCGGGAATGCTGTAGAAGGAGAAGTGGGCACAGGGCCACTAATTACACCCACAGTTAATAGGGCACAAATTAACACATGGGTAGGGCCTTGCTTGTGGCCTTTTGTTGCTACACAACCCAAATCACAACTGAGGATGGTTTGGCTGGGCTGGTGTCCCTTCTAGAGGGGTTGGAAGCTGAGCTTTGCCTGAGCCCAGCTCCCTTCCAGAGAGGAGCTGGATTTGGAAAACCCAGATCCTTGCAAAAGCCACCCCAGCAGGGCCTTGCAGCAGAGGAGGTGGCCTGATGTCACCCCCATTTCTGAAGCCCCAGCTCTTGGCCAGGTCCTGTCTGAGGAGTAACAATGGGGCAAATGCTGTTCCCGGGACATTTCCAGTTCCCTTTGGGACTGCCAGGGGCTTGAGGTGTTCCCTGTCCCCCCCACCCTAGGAGGGTGACCCCAATTTACCGCTGGCCTGGGGATGGGCTTCTGGGGTTTCTTGGAGCCCAGCTTCTTCATGGCGTTGTAGTATTTCTTCTGCTCCTCTGTCATGAAGATGTCTTTGCCTCCGAAGTATAAAGGGAACCACCACTGTTATTCCAGGGAATTCCCCACTTCCCACCAGGCATCTCCAGCCCCTCAGAGGTCCTGCTGGGAGCCAGGTGTCCTCTGTGTGCCCTGCACCCCCAGTGTGACCTGTCCTGTCCACCCTGTCCTGCCTGCCCTCCGCCCGCTCTGGGTGTCAGTCCTGAGCTACTGCCTCGGAAGCAGAAGTTGTCTCAGTGCGTGGAAAAATGACCCCAGGGTGGGAAAAGAAAAAAGAAAAGTGATGGCCCAGGCAAGGGAAAATGTGGCTTCCCTTTGCCTTCTGTCTCTGCAGCCATAAATTAAATTCCCTGTAGCTGCAGTGATCAGGAGACAAAGCTCYGTGTGCCATTTGTCCAGTGCGGGAAGCTGCTAATGGGTAAAAATCCTGGGATCCACCCTAATCCTGGGCTTGGGCTGTGGCAACAGGAATGGTTGGACTTGGAGCCTTTTCCAACCTAAAATATTCTATGATTCTGTGCCAGCAGAGAACATTTTCTGGGAGCTTGTGGGGTTTTTCTGGGAGTTTGGGGCTGGGAAGGGAGGGAAGGTAGCAGGTGTGTGTCTGGGGTTTAGCTCTGAGCATTCCCGCTGTCCCAGGAAGCAGGAATGGGRTGAATTTGGGATCAATTCCCAAACTGGGAATTCGCAAGTTGGGATGAATAATTTGGGATGAAATCCCTCCCCCCCAGCACTGTGCCAGCCCGAAGTAGCCCCTCAGGTCCTGGGGAATACTCATCTTCTTCTTCTGCTGGTTGAAGTTGTCGATGATGACGCCAATGAAGAGGTTCAGGGTGAAGAAGGCGCCGAAGATGATGAAGATGACRAAGTAGATGTACATGTAGAGGTTGATCTCGTACTGTGGCTGCTCCTCAATCTGGCCAGGAGAGAYGGAAAATGTCAGAATGACCCTGTCCCAAAAGGTGTCCCCAACCCCCAGACAAGGGGTGGCAGTGATGGACACAGCCAGGGGGTGGCTGCTTTGAATTTTGGCTGTGTGTTCCCAAGGGGAAGGGGACACCCATGTGACACCAATGGGGGGACAAGGACATGATCCCCAATCCCATGGCACCGGCTGGGGAGTGGGAAAGGATGTCCTTTGTAATGACATCAGTGAGAAAAGGAGTTCCTTCCCAATGATCAACATTCCAAGGGCTGAAATATATCCGAGAGGGGAAAGGAGCAGTGGATGAATTTGTCACACAGACGCGCTGGGGTGACACAGCCTGGCAGCCCTGGACTGCTCCTCATCCCAAGGAGAATCCCTTAATCACAAGGCGACCCCATTGGCTTCCCCTTTCTGAGGAAAGCTTTTGGCTGAACGGGGAGGATTTTCTCCCAAAGCAGCTTTGCCCCAGGTGGAGCAGGAGCCTGAGGGATTTTCAGAGGACGCTGGAAAAGTCCTAAAAAAAACCCTTTAGGATTGTGTGGGGTGCCCCTATTTGATCAGAGAACAGCAGGAACCCCTCCTGCTGGTTCCCCAGGGCTGCTGTGGGGACACTTTATGGGATGGATCATGGTAGGAACAGCCTTTGCATGAAACTCTTAAAAAACATTTGAGTTTTTTAAATAACCCATTGGACCCAGTGGTTCAGTGATGGCTGCTCTGCTCTCATAGCCCATGGATTGCTCACGGCTGGCCAGGCGCTATCCCCAGGAGGGGATGGGCTCTCCCAGCTGGAGGGGACATGGGGGACACCAGGTGACAGCAGGGGAAGTATAAACCCTCAGGCTGGAGCAGAAATTTGGGCCCATGGAACTGCAGCCCAGCAGAGCAGCCCCAGCCCGGCTGTGGGGTGGAGTGGAGTGGGACCCCCACATGGGGCCAGGCTGCAGCTGAGGTGCAGGTGACAGGGACAGGGGTGGCACAGGGACACATGGCTGCCCTTTTGGAGGTTGGGCACCTCAGCAGGGGGATGGTGTGACTGTCCCTGGATCCCTGGCAGTGTCCGAGGCCAGGCTGGACATTGGGGCTGGGAGCAGCCTGGGACAGTGGGAGGTGTCCTTGCCATGGCTGGGGTGGCACTGGGTGGCATTTAGGTCCCTTCCAACACAAACCATTCTGGGATTCCATGATCTGACATGTTTTAAGGGATTTTCCACTCTGTCCTGGCTGAAGCCATGGGTGGGATGCAGGTAGCCCCCAGTCCCAAAAGGCAGAGCCAGAGGTGATGC